GCCTCCCGAGTAACTAGGGTTACAGATTTGAGCTGCCAGCACTTGATATAGCAGCTTCTTTTCTTTTCTTTTATTTTGTCAGTTGTGGGGCCTGAACTCTGGGCCTGGGCGCTGTCCCTCAGCTCTTCAGCTCAAGGCTAGCGCTCTACCACTTGAGCCACAGCGCCACTTCTGGCTTTTTTCCGCTTAAGTGGTGCTGAGGAATCAAACCCAGGGCCTCATGCGTGCGAGACAAGCACTCTACCACTGAGCCACCTTCCCAGCCCAGCACCTTATTTATTTTAGTGGAGAACGCTAAGACCAGAAAGAGGAAGGTGGCTCAGATCAGAAGGATAAAGAAAGGGAAAAGGGCAGAGTGCTATGGTCGGGAGGCCTTTGTACACAGTGAAGTGTCCCCTCTGTCCCTCCAAATTGGATTCCTGGTGTTTGGAATATCACAGGACACTGGCATGTTGTACGCTTTGTGGACTAAGAGCAGCAGTTGAATGATTGTTTGTAATGTGATTCACTGTGAACACAACCTAGATACGTTTATTTACTTCCACTTTACAAGAAGTCTATCTAAGATAACACAGACACAAATAAAAAGGGCCTGCTTTTACCCACAGATATTTGTTTCCTTTCTTGGCTGTTTTTGAGGCTTTTTGATGTGGTTGGTTTACAAGCGCTGAAATCATACTGTATTCCCATAGAGAATACAAGCAACAAGGGATGACCTGGAAGGAAAAAGAATTTAGATCATCTCATTTGAACCACTTAACCCTCCAGTCTCCTGGGGGTGCAGAGTATCTAGAAATGACTGCACTCAAGGGCTTACTTCTTTTTTCTTTTATAGTAAATGAGACTTAATAAATAGATTTCATGTTAAAAAAAAAAACCAGTCTGAAGCGCACATACACACAGCTACAGTGAAATCAGTTTTATCTGATAATGAATGCTCCAGTGGGATTTAAAGTTCAGTGATAATTCAGAATTATGTTTTTACTGTATAAGAAGATCTTGATTTCCCTTCCCCTACCTGCCTGTGGGGATTAATGAACAAATCTGTGATGAAATGTATACAGAAACTTCCTAACACAAAACTTCTTAGCAACAATAGATTGAATCCAGGACCTTGCTCATGCTAGGTGAGTGCTCTACCTCTAAACAGCCCACAAGTGTGCCTTTAAAAAAGTGTATAGTAAACTGGTGCTGGTGATTTGTACCTGTAATCTAGCTACTCAGGAGGCTGAGAGCTGAGGATCAAGGTTCAAAGCCTGCCTAGGCAGAAAAGCCCATGACACTCATCTCCAATAAACTAGCAGAAAAGCTGGAAGTGGAGTTGTGGTTCAAGTGGTAGAGTGCTAGCCTTGAACAAAAGAAGCTCAGGGACAGCACCCAGGCCCTAAGTTCAAGCTCCAGGACCATCGTGTGAATACACACACACACACACACACACACACACACACACACACACACACACATGCAAAGCATGGTTTTCTCTTGTCATAGATACTATTTTAACTCACTTCCGTTGTATAAAAAGGGTTTGGTTTTACGTCAAACACTAGGTAGTGAATGTGATATTTGCAGGTCTTGAGTTACAATACAATGTCTACAGCCCGATTTCCTATTTGCTGTCAGAACAGATCATCTCCACTTTGTTGAGTCAATGTGACTGGAAACATTTGCATGTGATGAGCTGGCCTTCCAACTTTTGTAATTGATAAGAGAGAGGTAAGCCAAGCCAAGCTAAGCTATACAACATCACTAGACATTTCCGACTTGGTTTAATGTAATGAGATGTTTTCCTGTGGAGAAGAGAGGAAATTTCATTGTAGAGCAATGAACGAGGAACTTTGAAAGCAGAAAATCCTGATCCAGGATGCCCAACCCAGGCAGGAAAGCTCGGAGTGAGCCGCAGTGAAGGAACTAGCTATGTGTCAGCTGTTGGGGAAGTGCTGGTAGCCAGGAGAACCAGGAGCCATGGAAATGTTTATATCTGCACCAGCTGGCCCTGCATCTTGATTTACAGCTGCTCCTCTTTCAAAGAGAGCTGCCTGCATCTGGAAGCTGGTGCTGCCAGCCCATCTTACAGGCCATTTTTGTGCACAGAACTCTTGGATGGTACCAGAATCCTAAGCCAAATCAGCCTTAAGCACCATCGATGCATGTTGCCAGGGTAGTATTATGCTGAAGGCCTGGAGTGCTTTGGAGGTAGAAGTGTGCTCGCCTCAGTGATATAAGCGGGTTATGAACATATGTTTTCTACATCAGGAAAATCCAGTGGAAAGTGGAACTTTATTTTAATTTTGTTTAGTTTTTGGTAGTAAAACTTCTGAAGGATTATAGACATAGGTCAGGGTGTGGGTGACTATCAAAACGTTGTAGCCGTGTGGCTGAAAAGCAGGACTGAAGGAGGGTTTATGTGAGTTTTACTGTACTGTATTTTAAAGTGATTTTTGGTGGGTTTAAATGCTTTTTTTATATGTGCTTAGGAATTCAGGTGTTGAGTGAAAATGGCTTTTGAAATCTTAGCTTATGTTAGCACCATTCTCTTGTCTTGGCCAAACCTTTGTCTGTACAGGTCATATCTGTGTATGCATTCTCTTGAGGACAAAAAATGAATTTGTTTTCATTCTTTGCTCAGTCAGAGATGGCAGGATGGACTACAGACAGAGAAAATATCTTACTGCATTTTCTACTGCTAATAACAAATACACATACTGCGTGCATTGTATAGAGCGGAGAAGTTTATCTGGGGCCTCAGCTCAGATGGCATCCTTGCTGGCAGAGGATGAAGGTGATGACAGCCCATCACAGGGCACAAAGCAGATAGCATGCACAAGACCTGGTCAAACCAGTTTTTATATCCACAAAGGCAGAGCACGTGTTGCTTTCTAAAGGTCTTTCCTGTCTCTGTCTCTCTGTCTCTCTCTTTCTCATAATGGAGATTAAACCTTCATGTGAGTTGTCTAGAGGACAAATCATATACAGACCATAGCAAGAAGCATGGTATAAACAACAACAACAACCACTACTACTACTACTACTACTAATTTAATAATAATAGAATCTCCACTGGGTACACTTTGTTTTAATCAGGGTAAGTAATACCAGTTGCTATAACAAAGAAGCTCACATCTCAATAAAACCAGTTTATTGCTCAATCCAGTGCAAAGGAACAAGGGGTAGGGTGATGGTCTGATAATGGGTATGCCACGTCCTCCTGGACTACAAGAATTCTCCATATTTGGGACCTTCCATATTGGTCAAGGACATGACAAAATGAGTAACCATAAAGGGTCGTGTGGGAGGTTAGAGACCAGGCTTTTAGAAGGGCTGTGCATATGCCTGGAACGTTCACATTCTGCTGGCCAGAACGCATGTCTGACATGCCCCCCCCCCCCATCCCCAGCTCCAAGGAGGCTTGGGAGCAGCTTTGTAAGCTTCAAGGAAGAAGAGACAATACATGGATACTCTTGAGTGCTCATAGTCTATGCCCCTTGAAAGATGCTCATGTTGATCTAGTATGTTGCATACCAGGCGCTGTGCAGAACCTGTTACTGGAACTCATCCTTGTATGTATAATGCAGTGCCTCGGGGAGTTAACACTTGGGGGCTGTCTCGATTTGTCTTTAAGTAGTTGCACAAAGGGATTTCAGTCTAACATGTCAGTTGTGAGCACAATGTGTCTTTTTTTTTTTTTTTGTGAGAATACCGTACAGAGTCGTTACAATTACATGGGCAAGACAACGAGTACATTTCTTATCAAGCATTGTTGCCTCCTCTTTGTTTCCCATCCCCACAGTGTGTCTTGATTAGTGTTACCCCTTTCCTCTCAAATCAAGTACAAGACAAGGATGTCCACTCTCTCTACTCAGACTCAAAATATAGAACTGGAATTATTAGCCAGAGCAATAAAGCAAGAAAAAGAAAGAAAAGGGATCCAAAATAGGGAAGAGAGAAGCCAAACTATCCCTATTGGCAGATGATATGATCCTATATCTAAAGGACCCTAGCTCAACACTCATAATTACCTTTGGCCAAGTAGCAGGATTGAAGGCCAATTGTCCCATGAAATTCAGTGAGCAGCTAGAGAGGGGAAACTAGGAAAGCAGCTCTGTTTGCAAAAGATTAGTTTTTTTTTTTTTTTTTAAAGGAATGGATGCTGCTTGACCAAAACAGCAGCCTCTCACACTCTGCTCTGCACTTGCAGTGTTCTGTAAAGCCCTTCAACAACCACAATCCAGGCTGAAATCCCAGCATGGGATTTCCTTTATGGATTTTGTTCCCATTAACCTTAAGCTGCCCTTTGAGAGTAAAGACTTGAAGCAGCCCATTTGGCAGAGGAGGACTCCTGGGGCTTGTGGCAGTTGATTGCTCACTATTGTTACTACACAAATTGGTCATAGCGTCGGTCCCCTCCCTTTTGCCTGCTCTCCTACTTTGAATTTCTTCACTATGCTAGGATTGAACCCACTGCTTCCTGAATTCTAAGTAATCTACTACGAAGCTACAGTCCCAGCTCTCCTGACTTTTTTCTTTTCTTTTCTTCTGGCAGTACTGGGGGTTGAATGCAAATCCTTGGGCTTAATTACTAAGGTGACACTTTAGTGCCTGCATCACACCCCTAGCCCTCCTTCTGACCCTCAGCTTGATTAAGGTCCAAGATCATGATGTATGGATGCAACTACATCCATCTAGTCTATGAATAGATGATTTTCAATGCTGTTTTCCTTTTTAGTTGATAGTAAAACCTATCAGGTGGGTGTTGTGGCTCGTACCTGTCATCCTAGCTACTTGAGAGGGAAAGATCAGGAGGACTGCAGTTCAGGATCATCCTAGACAAAAAGTTTCTGGGGTCCTATGTTAACTAATAGGAATAGAAGCACAAGAATGATACAGATATGTACATAGTCATTTGCAAGTATATGAAATCATACAGACTTCTGTTTTTCTAAATACATACATTTTGAATGAAAAATAATTGTACTATTTTGTGCTATTTTACCCACCAGATTCCATCAGAGAAATCCTAAAGCAGAAATCTGAGCCTTCAATTGACTATCAGAAGGTAATTTTTTTAATCAATGTATTTGTTAGTAACAATAACAAGTATGGGAGAAGTCTTGGCTGACTGAAAAAAGGAATCTTTAAGCACACATTATGTAACTCTAGTAGCCTTTTTTTGACAAAAGACTTTTACAGAATGTTGACTTATCTTGTAGATCCTATTTAGCAGCAGAAATTTCAAAAGTAGCCTTTGAAAGAAAATGTTTCAAACTTTGTGCTATTTAAGAATTAAAATTTCAGCTGGGTGCTGGTGGCTCACACCTGTAATCCTAGCTACTAAGGAGGTTGAAATCTGAGGATCACAGTTCAAAGCCAGCCCAGGCAGGATAGTCCGTGAGACTCTTATCTCCAATAAACCACCAGAAAACTGGAAGTGGCACTGTGGCTCAAGTGGTAGAGTTCTCCCCTTGAGCTGAAGAGCTGACAGATAGCACCTAGGCCCAGAGTTCAAGCCCACGACCACCACCAACAACAACAAATTTCCCCAAATGAAATATTGTTACTCTTTGAGCTATGAAATATTGTTACTCTTTGAGAGAACTCTCTATGAAAAACTACCTGAAAAATCTTCAGAAATGGTGAGAATAGACTTTGCTTTAGAAGAGAGTTTGATTTAGGAAATAGTGTTCCTTATGTATGTCCTCTGTCTACTTGGGTTGATGAGGAAGATGGCAATGACACATTTTAGGGTCAGAATGTAAGAGTTCAAATAAAGGTGAAGCAGGAATAAGTAGATCTGTAAGCATGTGCAGAGGATCAGAAAATATATTCACGGAGCAGAAACCCTTCCAAGAGGAAGGGAAGTGAGGCTCAATGGGGAAAGGGTAAGGAATGTTGGAAATGATAGGTGGAGATGACAACCCGGGCTGGAAAACTAGGTGAGAGTACAGGTTTGAAAGGGACAACAGAGGGGAAGGAGGGTGAGTGGGGAACTGATCATGTGGTACACTTGGACAAGAAGCATCATCACTGAAGGTTTCTGCCTATGACTTAGGGAGCCATGGATGTACTGTTTGCTTCTATGACTGACCACATAGAAGAATGCCTTTATATTTGATTTTTTTGGGTAAATATAGAGCCCAGGAAACATAGACAAATATTGGTTGTGTTGAGTAGGGGTTAGTAAGTTTTATTTTTTGTTTTTGTTTTTGTTTTAATGTGCTTTAGTCCCCAGTAAGGTAATTAAGGCACACTGCTCTTTGCTTTCTTGCTCTGAGGATGATTGTCAAGGTAAGAAGAAGATACATAGTGGACCATCAGTACCACAGATCTGAATGCCAGTGTTTGTGGTGCTGGTGTGATAGCAGTGTAGCCAAGTCTTGCCGAGGCCTCATCGTATTCTTCCTTTGCAACAAAGTGATACTCAAGAAAGAAGTGAATGTGGAAGCCAAAGAGGAAAGCTGGTGTGGAAGCCATTTCCATCTACAACATGAATGAGGTTGAAGGAGCTATCATACCTCAATGGAATATTGAGTGGAGGCGTATACAGGAGAAGACTAAAGCTTAGAATTATGGGCCGAAGAGAACAAACAAGGACCAGAAAAATGATGGTGCAGAGACCCGAGGAGTGATTAGTAACAATCCTAATTTCCTCAAACAGGAATCTCAGTTGTAGCATTTCTATGGTGCATCCTCAAGATCAGATGCCCAATACCATAGATACATGCTATTTCATTCAGTCTTCACAAGAGAGGCCTGTTTCTTCAAGAGGTGCTGATCCACAGATCCCACAGGCAGTGCAGGTATCCAACGTGTTCTCCGGGGGAAACAGAACATGAGGATGAACCACTTCCCAGATTCCCTACATCCTGGCTGACTGTAAGCGAGATGCCCCCCACAGGAAGATTCTGTAGAAAAAGCCTCTCAGCCTGGCTCCTGTCAAGTAGTGTCTGCTTAATTAAATAAAAGGAACGATTTCTCATATTCACAGAATACGATGTTAGAGGATCACTTGAAATTGCTTTACAATGATAACCCATAAACCCATTCCTTACACCTTAAGGAACATTTGCATGGAAATATTAACAGCAAGCCTTTCCTCCCATCTCCACTCTGCCACCTTGGTTTCCTTGTTTGGTTTCCTGGATTTGCTTCCTCATGGTTTTGGTCTTATTTCTACTCTTGCTTGGCTCTCCTCTCCGTTTAGCTGGTAGGAGGCAACATCTGCACTTAGACCTGAGTTTAACAGGAGAATGAAGAGGAAATGTTCTAAGGCAAGGATGCCATACAGGTGTGAGGAGGAGAGAGATAGAATGGCACTCTCTGGGCACATTTGATAGGATCACAACGAACATCTTAGAATGGCCCAGAATGATAATGAAGACTGGGGACAAGAAGCCAAGATTAGTAATATGGACCCATGTTGGGGAATGTGGATTCAAAATGGTAGGACTTCATTGACTGGTCCTAAGCAAAGGAATATCTCCATCAGACTTCATTTCAGAGAGGACGCTTCAGAAGAGGTTGACCTTTGCATTCTAGACTCCAGGCAGTCCCTGTTTCTCTATTTTCATGAAGCTCACATTTTGTAATTTCCCCTCTAACTCTCCTTCCCATAATGGATTAGCATGTAGACCAGGCACATCTCAAGGATCCAAATGTAGGTTCCAGACCTTGACTCTACTCAGCATACTGCTTCTCAAATGTGCATGCACATGTTATTTTCCTTGCTTGTGTTGATTCTTCTATCACTTGATTTTTTTTCTGTGTGAGTTTTCTTTATTGTAGTTAATCACTCATGAGACTTTCTCTGTTTTCTTGGTGCATGCGGCCTCTGCCACACACAAACTCCTCAACTGCTTTGACTTCCACAGCCAGAAAATGTAGTCTTGGCTCTAAAGGTAAAGTTCATATCTGTTGTCTGTTTCGTGTTGCTGTGTTGTAAGTCTGTGAGTAGTGTCACTTTTGTCAGAATTTGCTTTTTCTTCCTTATTGTCCCTCTGTGATGGATTTTTTTTTTTTTTTGATCTTGGGACCTGAACTCTGGGCCTGGGCACTGTCCCTCAGCTCTTCAGCTCAAGGCTAGCGCTCTACCATTTGAGCCATAGCTCCCCTCCCGGCTTTTTCTGCTTATGTGGTACTGAGGAATTGAACCCAGGAGCTCATGCATGCGAGGCAAGCACTCTACCACTAAGCCACCTTTCCATCCCCATGATGTTGTCTCTTTGATTTATGTTTGTCTATCATCTTTACTCTTGTTCTTATTATCAGCATAATCTGCAAAGTGCTTGAAGAAATCGGTATGTCAAAAATGGTTTATGGAGGTAGGCCATGATAGTATAAGCTTATAATCCCAGAATTTGGAGGGTAGAGGCAGGAGGATCTCAAGTCTGATGCCAACCTGAGCTAAGTAGCATGTGGCAGGACCTTTTCTGACCATATTTAGACTTTAGTATGCAAGTCAACTGGTTGAACTCAGGGCCTGGGCTCTGTCCCTTAGCTTTGTTTTTGCTCAAGGCTATGCTCTACCACTTGAGCCATAATTCCAGTTCCGGCATTTTGCTGACTAATTGGTGGTACAGGTCTCAGCAAACTTTTCTGCCTGGGCTGGCTTCAAACCATGATCTAAGCTTCCTGAGTAGCTAGGATTACAGGCATAAGCCATTAGTGCCTGGCACTTGTCAACTCTTAACATGGTGCATTTGTGTTCCTGATCCTGTTTTATATTTAGTCAGTAACATTGGGAATTGCAGGCATTTGTACTTGGAACTAAAATTAATGCATTGTAAATATCTCAAGGTAACTTCTCCTGGGTTTGGATATAGGGTCTCCTGGAGGTCAGAAATTCTTTTGGTTTTGTTGTATAAGTAGTAAATAATTCAGAGTACTTGTTGAGGAATAATAGCAAAATATCTTAAGCACAGAAGAGTGTGGAGTATCTGTCTGGTTTTTTCCTTCTCCAAGGAAGGATTCGAGACAGCTAACGATGCCTTCTGCACATGCAAATAGGGCTAAGCACGTGCATGTAACAGATTGATGAGGCAAAACTGCATGACTTTTTTTTTCCTTTTTAGTATTTTTAGCTTTACTATTGTAGTAGATAATGGTCAAGTAGCATTCACGATATGACCATTTGCTCATAAGTTTACTGTTTATTTAATAGTGATCTGGGCACTGGGCTAGGTGTTTTCACATTAGTCTTCCCATTCTGTCCCTCACAGTGTGTTTAGGGGTTGGTGCTAATGGACTACTTTTCAAGTAAGGGACTCAGAGGCCCCCTATAGAGGTGTAATTGACTTGAATCTCAGTGCTGCCTGCCAGGACATCACCTCTGTTTCTGGGAATGTTATTGAATGGAGTTTGGGCCACTCCCCTCTCACATTATATCCAGAAATAAGGTCCTGAAGCAAGGAAGTGACTATTGTCTATGGCCACACTGCCTGAACATGGCCCCATCTCATCTGATTTCAGATTGGGTCTGGTTAGTACTTGGATGCAGGGTAACAATGGGAAAATCCACTAGTCACTAGCAGATGACTGACTTGTCATAACGTTCTTTTTACCTGAAGCTGATTTAGGAGTGGTTTATGTCCATACTGATAGAAGATTCCAGACTAGTGGCTAGTGGCTGCCTTCTCTTTTCAGGTGTCTCCAGGATAGCACACCTGATCCAAATTCCTAGTCACCAGTTTTGCCAATTTTAAGAACAAAGATTGTTATTTTCTCTGGCTCTTTTTTTTTGGACACTGATCAATTTGCCTACATGTATCTACTGCTATATCACCCACAGGGCAGGATGGAAGAGGGTAGGTGCTCTGAGGTGCCCTTGCCAGTTGCCAAACTCATGGTTATATCAGAGAACACATTACTGTAGAAGCTGAGCATCAGGTTAAGGTGAAGCAGAGCTCCAGACTCAAGACCTGCTGGCAAGATCTTCTTGCGAGATCTGTTCTCCGGGCTTGGCTGGAGGAGCAAGGCTTGCATTGGATTTTCCTCCTCAGCTTGGCGTTAGCGTCCCTTGTCATGTTGCTTGTTTATTAGTCGCCAACTGCCAACCTACAGTCTGATTGCTGTACTTTAGAAACGTGAGCAGCTGAATGCAAGAATGGTGATGAGATCACACTCTATCATCCACTTGCAGGAACCCTCATTTATGCCTCAACAGAGGCAGCAGAGATAAGAAGAGTGTGTTTAGTTGTTTAGGATTGTGCCCATTCCCATTTCCATTCAGAACCTGTCTGTGACACTGGCTGCCAAGCTCAGTGCTTCACCAGGGCTCTTTCTCATGAGGTGACACACAAATGCCATCTATTAAGTGTCTCCCTGTGCTTGGTAATCTATCAGGTACTGTCTGTCGAATGGTATATTCTCTCTCATTTTTCCAAAAATCTGAAAATATCTGTAGTATTCTTCCCAGCGGATGGGTGGAAAACTGAGTGACCTATGTTGTACTTAGTGACTTAGAAAGGCTGAGTCTGGGGCTGGGAAGGTGGCTCAGTGGTAGAGTGCTTGCCTCGCATGCATGAGGCCCTGGGTTCAATTCGTCAGCACCATGTACATAGAAAAAGCTGGAAGTGGGAACTGTGGCTGAAGAGCACTTGCCTTGAGCTGAAGAGCTCAGGGACAGTGGCCCATGCCCAGAGTTCAAGCTCCATGACTGACAAAAAAAGAAAAAGAAAAAGAATAAAAAGGAAGGCTGAGCCTTTGTTCTAAATTTGATGGATTCCAGGTTCTCTTATAACTACAAACTTGTCACAAATTGATCCAATCCAAATGACTCCAAGTCTTTAATATCATTTCTACTTGTCTTCTCCTTCAGATTACATGTACGTGATTCATTTTGTGAATGTTCCCACCAAGATTTTTCAAAACTATTTAAGAGCTAACAGGATGTCTTTGGGGTTGAAATTAAATGATTTTTTTGGTTGTCCTGGGAATTGGAAGGAAGATAATAATCACTCAGTACCACATTCTAATAACCGGTTCTCTGCTTCCAGAACCCCAGGGAGCTTTCTTTTTTTTTAATGGAAGTATATATGTACTTAGATTCAACTTACAACAGCCACTGGGTTACAGCAATGAAGTGGGTATGGTGTGAAATGCTCTACTTGCTATGTTCGGTACATTGCTATTTTTGTTTTGTTTATGTGTTTGACTTGCAGGTTGCCTATTATGAAATGGGCATTATTATATGCGCTGTCCTGGGCCTGCTGTTTGTTATTCTGATGCCTGTGGTAGGATTTTTCTTCTGTATGTGTCGCTGCTGTAACAAATGTGGGGGGAAAATGCACCAGCGGCAGAAGAAGAGCGGACGTTGCCAGAGGAAGTGCTTTGCAGTCTCCCTCCTGGTGATGTGTTTTCTCATCAGGCAAGTAGAGTCTTGGATGCCAGTTGGTTGTGTTTTAGGATGATGAGGGTGTCTCGCATGTTAAATGTAAATTCCGTGGGTTTATCTGTCTATTTTCGAGACAGGGTCTTGCTAGGTAGCCTCAAACTCGTTATGTAGCCAAGGTGGGCCTTGAACTTGAGGCCCTCCTGCATCAGCCCCCTGAACAAACATGTGTCAACACACTCACCTACACCTATCCATTTAAAGCAAAACAAAACAACCACAGAAACAAAAAGAGAAAGATCCAAGCATGGTAGCAAAGGTCTGTAGCCCTAGCTACTCAGGGGGGATGATGGGTTTTGGGCATAAAGACAGGGAGAATCTGTTTCTGAAACAAAATACAAATCGAAAGGGCTTCAGTTGTGCCTCCTGTAGTATTGTGATCGCCTAGCATGTGCAGGCCCTGGGTTCAAGACCCAGTACTGCAAAAACCAAAACAACAACAACAAACAAAATGAAAAGGAGAACAAAAGTCCCTATCCAGGATGTTTCCAAATGATATCCCTGCAACTTTTTCCTTTGGTAACTTTTTCCTCCTTAGATACCCTGATAGATCTTGACTTGTAGAGGGTCTTCCCTCCTGGAGTATCACCTCCTCCGAAGTAGCTGTCTGGAGACTGACAGCATGTAGAACAGAGCTCTGGGCCTGAACTGGGGAAACAAGTGTCTCTACTCCTTGAGCCACGGCCCCAGTCCTTTTGCTCTCTTAGTTTATTTTTCAGACTCTGGCCTGTGTTCAAGGCTGACTCTCTACCACTTTGAGCCATAGCTCTACCTCCCATCTCTGTGTGTGTGTGTGTGTGTGTGTGTGTGTGTGTATGTGTGTGTGTGTGTGGCTGGAGATAACAGTCTCACAGACTTTTCTACCTGTGCTGCCTTTGAACCCTTATCCTCAGATCTCAGCCTCCTGAGTAGGTAGGATTACAGGTGTGAGCCACTGGTGCCCTGCTTGGTCTTCCTTTTGTCTGGGCTGTCCTGAACTAGAATCCTCGTGAACATTTTCTTTTTGAGAAGGTGGTGGCATTCTCTATCACCCCTAACTCTTTAGTGAGATAGATTCTCCCTAACTTTTTCTGGGACCGGTCTCAAACTGTGATTCCCTTATCTCTGCTTTACCAGTAACTGGGATTACAGGTGTGTGCCATTATGCCATTTCCAAAGTTCACATGTTGTTGGTTCACCAGGAATGCCTATGAGATTGAGGTGTGGCCATGCATCTCTTGTCTCTTTACCTTTCTTTTCTGTCTTTGGCAATTTCTGCTTCTCTGTTTCTGTTGTCTCTTTCTCTTTCCGTTACTTGACTGGTCAATCTGTCTGTTTTTCTTCCTGAAAACAAATGGAGTCTGTTTCTTTATACTAGATTCTGAAAGTCCACTAGTTGATGGCAATTCCAGATGTCTTTGTCTCTTTGCTTTTTGCCTTTGAAGTGGTCTCAGGAATGCACACACTGGGCCGCTTTGGGGATTATTATCCTCTCTGGCTTTAAGAAGAATGCCAATTACAGCTCAGAGACCTGTGAGGCTCAACAGAGGCCCCTTTCTGCAAGGGGAAACTTGTATGCTTCATTCGCTAAAGACCTGGCCCATAAACCCTCTGGGCATCAGAGCTGGTCTCAGAGAGGACAGGGTCATTTGGAGATAGTGCCTTTAAGTGATAGTGGCTCAGTTAATTAACTGAGTTAAATATTTCAACTTGAAGTAAATATGTATGAAAAAATGTATGCTCTAATTTAAAAAATTGTCTGACTACTTGAACAGATGTTTACATATGTAATAATCAGCTTTCATTTTATTTTTGAATGAAGCCTATATTCTGCATTGGATTTCTCTTTTTAAATTGGACTTTTCTTTGAATGTCATATAATTATGTGGTAGTTCACTCCAAGATGATTATTTATGTAATGTTTAAAACACCAAATTTTACAAAATAAATAATAAGCTTGACTTTCATTTACTTATAAAATGAACATCACAATGTTTTTAATTCTCAAAGCTCAGATCCATTAGTCTTGACTAATTTTTTTCTTTCAAGGATATTTTTTCCTTTTAAGTACATTTAACTAAGATTTTAGCTTTTAAGCTTATTTTGCTTTTAAGTATATTTTAGATGGGAAAATTATTTTTAAAATGCACACCTTGATTCTATAATCTACTATATATTTGCTTACATAGTTTTTTCACTTAGGTAAAACACAAATATGAACATCATAATTTTACATTTAAATTTAATTCAGTCAAAGTTGATACACACTTTAAGGTTGTGACAAATTTAAAACTAATTTGATTTTATACAGTCCATTGAGTTTATGTATGAAGTATAAATGGCAGTATATAGTACATGAGATTTTTTTTTTTGCTTTAAATTCAGACCAAAGTTTAAGTTGCCTCCAATTTTTTCATCATAACTATTTTGATGTCTTCCCTTTCAAACCCTTGCTAGCTTGCAAGTATCTTGAATGTCATGAGTTGGAAAAAGAGCTAAATATTGTTTGCAAGTAACCAAAGCTAGCTTAAAAGGTAAAAGATCAGAAAGGTGAAGATGTTTCTAGTAGGATGGCATGACAGGGAGAAGCATGTGAAGCTGAAGTGAAAGTAAGAGGGACAGAATGTCAGGTAATTAGATGGCACAGACAGAATGGAAGTGTATGTTGGAGGAGTTCTCAGATGCTCCTCGCACAGCCTCTGGTTTGCACTGACAGTAGTAGACACTGATGGTGTTGGGGAGAAAAAATACATATAGTGTATATATATATGTAATATATATATATTATATGTGTGTGTGTGTGTGCCAGATCTGTTTGTTTTTCTTTTTTTGCTCACAGCTAGTGCTCTACTACTTAAGCTACACCATTCCACTTTTTAATTTTTAATTTTTTTGTGTGTGTGATTCATTGGAGATAAGAGTCTCACAGGGACTTTTCTGCCCAAGCTGATCTCGAACTACAATCCTCAGATCTCAACTTCCTGAGTAGCTAGGATTACAGATGTGAGCCATCAGCACGCAGCATGTTGAAGTAATTTTTAATGTAATTTTAAAAATTCTTTCACAACGAGATTTACAATGTTGATGGGGGGGGGGGAGGCTGGGAAGGGATGTGAAGGGTAAACAAAGGAGGAGGCTGCAATGCTTGATAAGAAATGTACGCATTA